ACATCTGGTTTTGTAAGCTATACTTCAGTAACAAGTATCCGTTATATGTCAAGGGTTCCCAGTCCTGCTAGCACGATTAGCCTAGCCTTGACTTCTGCGCCGAGTGCAGCGCCACATATGCTTGCCATTACTCCATACCATTCACAAAATGTAATAACTTTTCAGGGGAAAGATGTGTGCATGTGCCTGTTTTTCGTCTTCTCTTCACTTTTTCCATAACTGTAAAGAATTATTTTGGTCTGGTTTTAATGCTCCCCCGGTGACTGGACAAATTACTTGCTCGCAGGACATTCGGGGCTGCATGAGTGAAACGTGAATGGCTCATCCCTCTAAGCACAGCCCTGTCTGCACCTCTCCGTTTACCTTACCAACACAGAAAGCGAGAAAGACGTTTTCCAGCCGTCTCGTTTGGCACATGAAAGGAGATGCGTCTGTAGCGAACCCATCCCCTGCTCCAAGGCTCTGGGCACAGGAACGTGCACACACTTTGGCAGCGATGCAAAGATATGATCTTTGGCAGTATTAAATTGTCCACATAATAATTCACAGCTGCACTGGGATCAAATATAATGGTGCTCAATTTTGGCTCCCGTCTGGTGCTCCCTGTCACTCTGCTCCAAACACGACTCTCTTAAAAGGCCCCTTGCATCAGCTGAGCGCTGGAGGCGCCTGTATGTGTGTGTGCACAAGATGGATTAATGCTATAAACAGAGAGTTGGATTTATCTTCGATTGGCACCACGTTTTTCTCCATGCAGGATTTGGAGCCCGAAGAGTAGGAGAGAGAAGAGAATGCCTTTATTCAAAACCACTGTTTGTGAGTAATTAACATATGAAAGGAAGCTTACAGTCTGGCAAATCCGGTTATCCAGAACCATGAAAAGAAAAGTGATTTTTTTTCCCCTCTAACAACCAGAGGGCCTCTGGGAATTTGCTATCAGGCATGATGAGATGAAAATGGAGTTAAGCTAAAGAGTGGATTATGGGTAACGCAGAGGGTCGATGACAAGTAGACAGTGAAATGGAATGAGAGTGGACTAGAATTCAAGATCAGCGTGATTACTGGAAATAGCTCAGCTCATGCCTGCCGTCTCCATGACAGCACAAAACGAATGGGAAAGACAAGGCTACAGCTGACCTCAGGGTGAGATGTTCATAGGACACAAGGAATGGCAAAGATAAAGAGAGAAGGACTGGATGGAATAAAGTTTTCACAGACATTTGTCAGGGTGGGGCCTTCCTGTGTTCACCAATGCCACAGGCTGGAGATTAATGGGCAGGGCTGCAAGCCAGGACTATATCAGCACAGAGCAGAACTAGTCAGAGGAAACCAGAGGGAGGAGAAGATCAGGCAACCCTGTTAGAGACAAGAGAGAGAGAAGGAAGATTGAGAGTGGAGCGCTGAATGATTGAACAGACGTATAGTCGCTGTGCCAGATGCCACAAAATATAGAAGCAGGAAGAAGTGAGAGAGGAAAAGGAGGAATGAAACAGGAGGAGATGGTCTGAACAGCGGCACATTCAGAAGTATCATATAGTATCATGTTCTACTGAAATATGTTGTGTTGGTTGCACCACCACCCTAATAAAAAAAACATGAATCTGCAAAGTTATCACTCTTGCAAGCTGTGCTTGTTCGCCCATAATCACTAGCTTTATTTATGATGGGCTCTGGAATAATGTTATAATCAGATTGCCTCGTTTATGGATAATGCAGGCTGTTATGTTATATGTTGTACAGGGCAACATAACTTTGCAGATTCATGTTTTTTTTATTAGGGTGGTGGTGCAACCAACACAACATATTTCAGTAGAACTGAACATTTTTGTTTGAAATTTTGCATTTGTAGTAGAAGCGTGAAGCTGGAGGCTATAGAGAGTTCAATTAACTCCCGCTGTCCTCATTCTCGCATATCTCACTCGTTCAAAGACGCCTGCCTCTGTTCATGCCATTCATTTCAGACTCTGACTTTGGAGTGCCTGACAGTGCCATTGATCTGCTCTCTGCATCTTGATCTCTTGGGTTTCAGCAGAGTGTGTGCAAAAGGATTGTTTGGGCTTTTTTTGTTGCTTTTTTCTAAAACACTTTTAATAGCACATAGTGTGTTTGTTGATGTGGAATCGTATTCGCTACCCACAATTCCACATTGCACGTGTCTGTGTTTACTGCCCTACTGTTATGTATTTTTGGCTGTGCTGAGCTCAAAAATGACTTAGAGTCATGAAATTCTTTGCCAGTTGTCTTTTGTTTTTGTTACAAAAAAAATTACATTTAACTATAAATAAATAATTACATAAACTGTAAATAAATATAAATACAATCAAACGGTTAAAAACGCATCTCTTCCATCGTAGTTTGACCCTATAATTCTTGAAATTTTGCATTTGTAGTAGAAGCGTGAAGCTGGAGGCTATAGAGAGTTCAATTAACTCCCGCTGTCCTCATTCTCGCATATCTCACTCGTTCAAAGACGCCTGCCTCTGTTCATGCCATTCATTTCAGACTCTGACTTTGGAGTGCCTGACAGTGCCATTGATCTGCTCTCTGCATCTTGATCTCTTGGGTTTCAGCAGAGTGTGTGCAAAAGGATTGTTTGGGCTTTTTTTGTTGCTTTTTTCTAAAACACTTTTAATAGCACATAGTGTTGTGTTGATGTGGAATCGCATTCACTACCCACAATTCACACTGCACGTGTCTGTGTTTACTGCCCTACTGTTATGGATTTTTGGCTGTGCTGGGCTCCAGACTGAAAAATGACGTGGGGTCAGTTCTTTGCCAGGGTTTTTTTTTTTTTTTGTTGCCAAAATCACAGAATCACTGTAATCACTTTGATGAAGCCTATTGATAAAAAAAAAATGTGTCTGGCTGTTGCCAATGTTAATTACATTTTAAACTATATAAATACAATTAATTAAAGATAAAAAATATAAAAAATATATATGTTTTATTTTTCATCACCGTCTAATCACATCCTGATGTTTATAATGGCAGTATTTAAGGCTATTACCTTTAATAGTTGTAGTTATAGCAATGAGTGTTATAGCATCTAGAACGATATTGATATCTTTATTATCATAATAAATATAATTTAATCACAGCACATAAGACATACACTAAATTATTAATTAATTTTACATAGTATTTTTTACATTAGTAAAAGTATCATAAAGAGAAAATGTTCATTACCCGACTGTGTCCCTAGCTTTCCTCTGCTAATGGACTAATGTAAACCCTGAATTGAGTGCAATGGTTGTTTAGCCCCCTCTCTTTTCTACCCCTCTCCTCTCCCGTCTCAGTCTTCATGCCATCTGTGGGTTTGATTTAGTGGCTAAGAGGCTTTCTGAGCAATGGACAAGTGATGTTAATAGCATACATATGCCAAAGGACTGTTTTAGTTTTATGGCTCTGACATGAGACATGTTTTGATTCAAGCAAGGCTGAGCATAACTCATCCACTGCTGCGGGTCGCCATATATTTTATTAACAGCAATGAGTTTCTCTTTTTATTTCCTCTGTATCTGTTTCTCTCTTTTTTTCTCTTTCTAGTAGTGGTGGTAACTTTATTTAGCATGTAGTACACACACAAAAGCGGATTTGCAGGTTGACAGGCTGCTCACCTCACAACATATCTGCAGTGCCCGTTGTCATGGCAACTGCAGCGGGCTGCTGGTGGTACTTTGTGGTCGGAGGTGTGCTGAAGTAGAGCAGTGCTGACCAGAGGGATGGTTGGGGTCTGCCCGGGACACCCGGGGTCAGTGTGCCACAGAATCACAGCTCTGTATGTCCTCACCTCGCCGGGGCTAGTGAATATTTCATGAGGAAACTGGAAGTGTTTTATCCTAATCTGTGAGTATAGAGTGTGGACATTTGTGAAATCCATGCCTCAGCTCCTCCTCGAGGGACTGTTTTGTTGAAAAGAAAGAAGTAATTGGATTTCCTGTATCCTCATGGAGGTGTGTGCCACATTTTCTGTGGTAAAATCGAGTAATACACTATTATTGGTGACTAAAAGCATTTTCAAATAAGCCAAAATATTTAAAGAGAAATTCAAAAAATAATAGAATTGAAAGTCAGTAGTGTCTAATGTTTTTTTTTTTTTACTCCATTGATTTTCTTTGTGTAGGAAAAAAATGTTGATATATTCTTCTAAATATCTTCCTTTGTGCTATTCAGAATAAAGAAGGACATACAGGTTTGGAACAACATGAGGGTGTAAAAATGATGGCAGAAATGTGTTTTTTGGGTGAACTATCCCTTATGATCATACAAGGGGCATTTATGAATGACGAGCATTCGATATCTGTGGAAATCTGTGGAACTTTCTGCCATTAATTTGCCTGCTGGGTGTTCATCAAGGAAGGCAAGAGTGGGGTAGATAACTGCAGCTTGTTGATGCCCCAGTTGTGGCTTGCGGAAGCCTGATAGCGAGACCAACCTCTCGACCAGGACAGTGGAGGTCAGTCTGTGAGTTGGCCCGCCCTCAGGGCTTCCGACTTTAATTACCTGAGCAGCAAAACATCCCGGCCTGCCAGTGGGGGAAGAGTGTGTGAACATGGGATATCGGGGCCGTACAGTCACGCAGCAGCAACATCCTGCCCGGGGAGGCCGGGCCTTGTCCGTCCTGGTTCCTGACAGTGGGCTATCTCTGCCGGGCCCGTGGTTCCTTTCATTCTAAAGGCCATTGTGTGGAGAAGGGCTGGGCCAGGAATGACTGGTTCCTGTTGGGCTCGATCTCTCGCTCAGCCAGCTCCGGTCCCACTGACAGATTCCTCCTGTTTGGTTTTGCTCTCTCTCTTTTTGTGTTAGTCACTCATGAGGATACTAAAAGTAATAACAGGACTGAGGAAAGCCTGCATTGTGCTGTTTCTGTCCTCTTTCCACAATATGTTTGCATTACATAATCTAAACATAAGCTGGGACAGCTGGCATCCTCACTTTCGAAAAAGTTGACAAAAACGTTCTAAAGCAGAAACATCTTTTTTCTCTCTCTCTCTCTTCAGCATTTGCTGGTGAATCTGTCAATGCGCATCTGGACTCGTCTCTGAAAACCGAACGGCTCATGATCAGGATTTAGAAATGAGACGTAGGTGTTTTTGTTTGTTACTTAAATGCAGAACTAGACACAATAAATCTGTCACTCTGTACGTGTTGGTGTGTGTGTGTGAAGATGTAATATCTGAAGTGTGTATTACTAGCACCACCTAGTGTGCAAACACTAAAAGGATGAGCCATGAAGGCATCTCTACCTTAAAGTCCCTTTCCATGTTTTGAGATTAAACAGACCTCAGAATAACGTCAAACTCCGCCACCTAATGAAACATGCTCTGTTTTCCGCAGCAAGTAAGAGAGGCTCAGCTTTCAGACGGTGGCTGGACCGGGCTGAGAGCAGAGTCTGGCTCGGGTCCAAATGAGGGGGCTGATTTGTTACTGACGACATGCTTTTGATGAATCAGCACAACTGCCTGTGTCACTTTCTAGCATGAGCCACACATTCAGATGATACTTGCAAACATTATACAGACATTATACAGAGAGTGCGATCATTCTGCCGTCACGGGTGGTGAGGAGGGGGGTCTCTTTGGACCTGGTGACCGGCATTGTTGAGCTTGATTGGCATGCACTATGTGCCGCAGTCATGCTGAAAAGGTGGAGTGGGAAAGTCATGAATAGCTGCGGAACACAGATCTGGCCCCGGCCCTCAGCCACAGCTTGCTCTGGGACTCGGGGACAGCAGAACGGACAGATGGCTCGGGACTGGACACACACACAAACACACACACACTTGCTTCTGCTTTTTCTCTTCTTTTTTCATGCAAACCCACAACACTAAGGTGACTAAGAAAGCTGTGGTGCCTAAATTTGCACAAGATACATATAGAAACTAGTAGTGATGTACCACAACAAATCTTTACCAAATTGAGTATTTCATTTTCAATAACTGAAACTTAAAATAAAGTTTTTAAATTAAATTAGGGTAATTGAACTCTTCATGCTGTTCAGGGTGTCCTGTTCTCAAGTGATGTGATAAACCAGTCATAGTGAAGTTCTTCAAGCTGCATCTCATATTATTAAAATTTGTTTGGTATTTCAGCCAAACAAATTTTACATATCAGGGCTCTACAGTGCGACCATTTCAGTCGCATTTGCGACTGAAAACTACTGCGTGCGACTATGAAAATTTTTTTAGGAGCACCAGTGCGACTGACCCGATCGATCATCATCATACTTGTGATTGCGCTCAGGGGAGCTTCAAAGGTTTCTACGTGTTTTTGCAGCGTTGAGTAATGTATCACAGACATATCTCACGAATCCTTTCATAAGCAAAGTGTAGACAGGGTGTAAATAAGAGATTCATTGCGTTTTGAACTGCGTCCACATTGCTGACATGTTTATTTATTTATTTATTTTTTGCTTATCCATGTTGTTTGCATAAAAGGAGAGGGTTATTGGGACCAGGGCATGTCATAGGGCATCCATTCATATTTATATTTCCAGCATTATACAGACTATTTCACTATAGCTTTATTACAGCACAAGAGATCAACAGAGGCATTTCCAGCCTGTTTGAGTTTTCATTGATGCCCACTTGTTCATATTTGTAGCGATTCTACATAAGATACAACATAAGCACTCCTGTGTTCGCTGCTTGTTTCCAGTGTTTTGCTCCTGCAAGGAGCATCTTCACATGGTTTCTGCTGTCTGTTTTACGCTGTGATTCATATCCTCGTATTGGACAGTCTTGCCCTTTAGGTTTTCTTCTGTGAGACAGCAACATACTGGCTGATCTAATGATGGTCTCTACTTCCAAAGTCTTATTGCAGCCTCTGCAGTAAAGCCGTCGTACAAGCAGATCATCAGAGAGCTCTAATGGCTTCCAGCTGTGTGGAAAATCAAGCCCTTTGGGTTGGGGCGAGAAGCAGACAATGCACAAGAAAAACTAAACTAATTTAGGCCCTTTTTTCAGTGCCAACGGACAACAAAAGACACCGTTCTCTCGGTGTCAATGTGCAGCACAGGTCAAGGGGCAGAGCATGTGGGGACACTGCATGTGTGCAACTCTGTCCCACTTTTCTAGTTGGGACCTTCACCTCACAGGGATAGACCCTGCAGAAGAGGTATCCATATGCTCGCTGGCTTTTCATGAAGCTCTTAAGCCCGTCAAGAAAAATCTGGCACTATTGGTCCTTGGAACACGAAAGAAGTGGAATCCCTTCAGCTCACAGTTTCCTCATCTTGCATTGTCTCGTTCCATCTCTTTCAGTCTGTTAATGCAGCCAACTGCTAAAGCAGGCCTTTATCAAGCCGGCCTGGAAATAAATTCTCTTCCCATCGACTCTGAAAGGGTTGTCACGTTGGTTTAAGGGGAGGGAGGGGACGGAAGGAAGCCACAGAAAAGCCTGAATATTTAGTTTGCTACGTTGCCACAATAAAATCCTGGGCGTAGCTGTTTTTGAGAAATGTACTAGTTTAGAGGCAAGGGGAACTGACAGATTTGGCTTTGTGCTGAGTGGACGTGAAGGTGTGTAAGCACTGACGAAAGGAAGCTGAAAGGACATTTTCTCACACACCTCATTGCAGGATATAAATGCAGCAAGGGTTTGTTTTTTACCTCATGGTAAGTGATCATCCTTGAATTGTTCAATTATGTTTACGTTTACTGAAAGAGCTGCATCAGGCGTCAATGACGAGGTGTTTGAAAGCGTTTCTGTCAGTATAGCATTGTTTTTTCTTATACCTTGTAGCACACATTGCCTTTTGTGACTTTGATAGCTATACTGCATTTTACTTCAGTATTTAAAGCTGCAGGAAAAAGCAAATGAGGAAATCTAGCATTGTTGGAGTGTTGGTAATGTTCGTAATTTACATGTGAATGCAACCGCTGCCAATTAAAACAAATCAACTTTGTTTGATGCAATGCCAGTAGGAACTTCCAGAAAAGTCATTCTCTTTTTTTGCCAGTGATTGAACATTTAAGGTACAATTATCTCTAGTATTATATTATTACCCATGTCTGTGAAACTATTGGGATGGTGAATCTCAGGAACTGCCTCTGCCATCGAAATCTCTGTTTTCACCAGTGCTGTTTATCTCAAAGTCACACTGTTCATCCCCAATGTGGAGAGAGAGGTTGGAGGCTGATGAGGAGAAGGAAATGCGCCACTAAATGTGCAAGAAGGAAAGATCCATCTCTCCACCCCTCATGTCTTCATCCTTTCCTCTCTCTCCCTCTCTCTCTCTCTCTCTAGAGTGTTTCCTCCACATGGAGCTCATCTGCTGTTTAAGGCGGCTGGGAGAAATGCCTTCAAGCTGACAGGGGCTGAAAACCCAGACATATGTTAATCACATGTAGTGATGGCAGTCTGGAAGGGGAGAGAGAGAAACAGCAAAATTGAGAAAGAGAGCAAAAAAAGA